GTCACGCTATAATACAAATCATGCTCTAAATGAGGAGGAGGTGTTTATGGATTTGCTTGAGCGATTGATGACGTATATAGAATCGGCTATTAAGTGAGATTGATTTAATTTTTGATACATTGAATTGATAATTACCTTGATATATGATATATGTTCAATGAACTAGTTAAGATTAGTCAACCTGGCCACCTTATATTAAAATAAAAAAAAAAACAAAGGAAAGGAGACATTAGATATCAAGTCGATAGAACAGCAGGACATTCAAAGTCTTACTGCAAAATTCAATTTTTTTAAATGATAGATATTATAAACCATATGTCATATATATGATGCTATTTACTTGTTTGGTTTTATATTTTAAAAGTATTTTTTAATTTTTTAAAATTTAATGTTTATAGATTATCTTAATATGCTAATATAAAAATAAATTTTAAAAAAATAAAAAATATTACTTTAATTTATTTTTAAATAAAAATATTTTAAAAAACAATCACAATTAAATTTTTAAAACCAGTTTTTTTTAAAAAAAAATTACTTTTCATTTTATTACCTGTAACTGAAATATTCGAGCTTTGAGAGCCGGAGGAAGTAACAAATCAATCATCCAAGATTTAGGAATAACTATCCTTATTTGCCTCATTATTCAATATCCAACAATTCTTACTGTTAGATTTAATTAAGATGTTGAGTAGGTTTGATTTGCTAGAATTTTTTAAATTTAATTTAAAAAAATTTAAAAAAATTTCTTTATGAATGAAATAGTTTGAATTACCATAAAAAACACTTAAACTCGTCAGTACAATCTGATCAAAGTAATATTTTGTAAAAAAATAAAAAAAAATTAAATTTTTTTAAAATCATTTTTAAAATGTAAAAATAAACATTTTCTAGTTGAACAATACAGAATATTCACCCAGTTAAACTTATTTAATATTGAACTATTTAAACTCGGTTGGATCAATGTCTTGAAAAATTAAAAAAAAAAAGGCATTTTAATAAAATTAATTGACATGGTAACTTGTGGAGTGCTCACCAACTAATGTTCAATTTCCCTTTTGACCAACGTTAGTGATGTTGTCTGATTTAGATTGAGGGAACCTTCTGTTGATTCTGAGAGGACCATGGATTGGATTTCACATTCACATATGATTATTTTTAATATTAGTATATTCAAATAATTTAAAAAAAAAACATTTAAATATTTCTTAAAAAATATGGTTGTGCCGTATAAACGAAAAAGCCTCGAAGCATCCATGGTCTTACACTCTTATTGTCCAAATTATTATTTGTTTTCAATTGTAATTTATTTACGCATGAAAAATTCTATATTTAAAGATTACTTCCAAGTAATAAAAATCATCTCAAATCTTCAAAAAAAAAACAATTTAATTTTTTTTCTCCTTGTGCCTCTCTCTTTTATATTTTTTTGTTACTTATAAATTAGGAGCATAAAATTTCTTCAAAAAGGTGGTGCTAGATGGGATAAAAAAAAAAAGGGAGTTCTTGATATTTTTAAAAGTATTTTTTACATGAAAATATATAATAATATTTTTTAATATCAACATAATTAAAAGTAGTAATTTAATATTTTTTTGAAATATAATTAAAAGTAGTAATTTAATATTTTTTTCAATAAAATATATTTGTAAAACATAATCAAGAAAAGAGATTACCGCACGCTACATTCGAAGGACTATCGTGTGGAAGTTGATGGCTATGTATATGGCAAAAGACAAAAGGCTAAAATGGGTGGCTCAGTTTGGTTGCTTGAAGCTGGGAAGAAAGAGGGGATAGTTGATTGCTTCAAGCTAGCAAGAGGTCCATTTTAGTAAAAGGAAATGCCCAAAGGCCAAACCACACAATAGAAGGAAAGGCGGAGTAGGTGTGAAGACCTTCAAAGCTATTAATCAGACTAGCATCAAAACACATGCTCCACGCTTCGACCGACCAAGCACATGGACTTCAAGGTTCAATCCCGGTTTAGTGACGATTTTATCCATCATTAACAAGTTATTTACGATTGAAAAAGCTAGAAAACTCTCTGGAATCTTATGCTTTTGACGACCTCTTCTCCTTCTAGAAGCTGAAACCATTGATATTGTGGGTGTGTTGTTTTTACAGAGCGGTAGATGGTGGCTTTTTTTTAAAAAAAAATTATCTTTTATACTAGCAAATCAAAATAATTTAAAAATTAAATAAAATAGATTCAAAATCTTATGAAATAAAAGTTGCACTGCTGCCCCTAACATGTTTACTCAAATGCTAAAATTGTGTTTCATTAAAAAAATATATATATTTTTACAATAGTTTTAAAATATTTTTTAATGCTTTTAAAAACAAAAATTATAAAAAACATATCGTCTGCATATCTCAGATCTCAAAGCATCTCGAAACAATATCTAGATATTATCTAAGAGATGATGCTCAAACCCAAGACCTTGTCCAAGAGATGATGCTCGAATCCTCTAATCACGACCTTGTTTATTTTTACTCCTTTAAAATAATTATATTATTTGCATTCAAGTTAAGATTTTTAATATGTTTAAATTATTATTTTGATATTCTATCCAAATCAAATTTCAAAATATATATAAAAAAATATTACTTTAACACATTTTAATCATGACTGCTTTCATTTAGTTTATGGTTATGGTTTAGCAATAATGAAATTGATGACCAGATGGATGGAACAAATATTTGTTTTTTATATGTTTTTGTATTAATTACTGAAACTTATAGTTATAATCATTTCTGCTTTTCTAATTTTTCACCTTCTAGGAAAGTTAAAAAAAAAATCAAAACAGTTTTTAAAATTCTTACAAAAAATAAAGAGACGAAATATAAAGAGACGAAATAGATCGCCACATCCAGGTAACGAATCCAGAAGTTATTGCCTTCTAATCTCAGCATGGGATCTAACTCATTTCTGCTTTTCTAATTTTTCACCTTCTCGGAAAGTTAAAAAAATCAAAACAGTTGTTTTTAAAATTCTTACAAAAAATAATGAGATGAAATAGATCGTCACATCCAGGTAACGAATCCAGAAGCTATAGCCTTCTAATCTCAGCATGGGATCTAACTGTTCAGTGTTCCAAAACTTGTCCACTGATAGTGCTCGAAATCAGAGAATTTAACTAAACACTGGCACCAGCATCCACTCAAAAAAGAAATGTTCCATCTGAAGAATACCTAAATTATAGAGAACTGGACTGGAGAAATCCCCCCCCTGGTGAATCTGGGCACTTAAAAACTATCACAAACTCCCTACTTCTTCTTTGCGGCATCTCCAGCCTTTGTCTGCATGAGTAAATATCAAGGTAAGTTATTGCTCTTGCAACAATACATGGAAACACAACCGTAAATAAAACCACTCGCTCACCTTCTTTACTCCACGGACTTTCTTGGCTCTGTTCTTTCTCTCCTTCAATTGCTTCCTTGACTTCTCAACCTTAGTGGCAAGCCCATTCTGCAAAAACAAGACACAAGATAAAGCAAAAACAGAACAAGACCATGCAGGATTCATGGATAAAATGAGTTTCTCAATCAAACCAACACGTGCACTGATATATGAAAACAGACTCGCAGAAGACAGATCCATTTCATTATTACATATTTTGCAATATGCACTAACAGACACTTGCAAAAAAATATATATAAAAAAGACTCCCTCAATGAATATCTGTATCAATTCATTCTACAGGTGTTTTTTTAGCTCCATATTATTTAATCAATGCATAATTTGCTAGTTTAGATAATAAAAAGAAAAGAATATCAGACAAGCATGGAATTTAACATAAGAGAATGAAAGGGATTTAAGACATACCCTAATAAGCCTATACTTGGGCTCGTACTTCTTTGCATTGTCAACTGTATCATAAATCAACCCAAATCCAGTGGATTTCCCACCTCCAAAATGTGTCCTAAACTTGAACACAAAGATTGTATTTGTGTCCTTCACCTCATACAAACTTGCCAGCTTCTCCTTCAATTCTGCCTAATTAACAGAACAAGTGCAAGACACACAATACAACACAGTGCATCAGTCACTCAAAGCCAAAACTTTCTTACAAAAAGAAAAGGTCGGTGTAAATAACCTTAAGAAATACTGGTGAAACTTGGTATGTTATGCTTATAGATAGGAACCATTGAACATTTAATATCACCATGAAATAAGTTAAATTGTTCCCAATCCCCATATGAAGTGCAAATATCTCCTCAAAAACCATTGATGACGTAAATGATGGTTAAAAATAAACAAGGAAAAAGGAGGAAGAAGAAGAAGAGTTGTGGTGAGCAAAATAAAACACATAAAATTTCAAAAAGCAACGTTCAAACAAGGATATACCTTAGAAACATTGGCTCTGCCAGGATGAAGAACATCAATGATCTGCATTAATCAAAAGAGAAGAATGAAAACCAAAAACGCTTGAAGATCCTACATGAAAAAAGATAGCACATGCATTGGATTACACAACTCTGCTGAAGATCTACAAAAACTAACATCAGCAGGCAATGCAGCGCTCT